TCATTATTTTAAAGCATAATGCAAATAACTTCTCGCTAAAGATCTGTCCTGGTATTCTCCTCTCATTGAAACAGATAATTCCCACTATGCATTTTGTTGCATTTTTTAGTTTCATAATGCAGTTATATTGCCTTGTTTGCTAGTGAAGGAAATAGAATGATCAGTCTGTTAGCTACTCCCTGTACTTGCTGCCTCCCAACATTCAATCTGCCTTCATTTTCTTGGTTTACTAAAGTAATCTCTCTCTCACCACACCCAGAATTTCATTGGAAGTTACAGACAGAAAAAAAAAAAAAAAAAAAAGGGCCAAGAGAAATTAAGTGACTTACTCTATATTATATAATTAATTCTAGAAGCAGAAATAAAATCCTTACTTCTTATTAGGTGCTTTTTATTTTCTGAGCCTGTACCTTCAAGATTTGTGACATGTTAACTGGCTTTTTTTTTTAAAAAAACTAAAGGTTTTAATCAAATTGGTACAAAGCACTAAAGCAAAAATAAATACTTCCCTCCCACCCCAAAATCTTCTCATTATATGTGAGAAACAAATAGTAAATATGATTCAAATTATAATTTATGATTTATATAATTATTCTACATTTGGATAACACCCAGCATTGAATTTAGCCTGCATGTGTATCTATTTACTTTTCATATTCATAAGTAAAATCCCAGAAGTTTAATGTCCTAGAATTAAATCCAAATGACCATGAAATCAGCTATGTACTTGTTGTCCACCCCCCCACCCCCCCCAGAAAGTTAGTTCAAAGAGTAATTCCACTGGGTTTCTGCAGTTAATTCCTTCCAGTGTCTACTCCAGTTCTCTTGAGAGCAAAGGCAAACTTACATGAATCAGATGTCTTAAACCTCTACCTGAAGCTTTGCAGAATTTCCTGCCTCCCACCTGTAAAGCCACTAGAAGAGACTCAGTGATTCACAAGTCACTTTTCAGGAGAAGGAAGGTACTGGATCAATAAAAATAATTGGAAATGTACTATTTTTAATTTTTACTCCATTTATTTTCTTCTTCAAAATAATTGATCAGCAGTACTGACATTTTATAGAGAATCAGAAATTGTTACATAAAGTTGTAATAGACAAGTAGGGGATTTTTCTGACTAAAAAATAATGATTCAAGTGAAACAAAAGCTTTTTGTCTTTTCATTAAGTCTTGTTTGGCAAGGTTTGTGGTGCCACATAGAAGTGTTTTTACAAATTACAAGAACTATGCAAGACTTCACTCAGTAAATTAAATCACTTATGCATTTCAATGATGCTAAAATGTGCTTTCCTCTTTGGCATTATAGCTTGATAACAAAAATACTTATTCTATGCTACTTAATTCATTGCCAGGCACTCCATATTTCATTTTTGGCATTTTTCTTTGCAAACAGAATTTATTTAAGATATTCTGTTGATCTGTGCTCCTCACAACTACCCAGATTTCAGATTTAGAAGAGGACCTAGACTAAAAATATAGTTTCTCTATTGTCTAGAAGAGTCCTTCTCAAACTTGATGAGCGTGCAATTAATGTGGATATCTTGCAAAAATATAGATTTTGGGAGAGGCCTGAGATTCTCAATTTCCATGAATTTCCAGGAAATGAAAATGTGGTTGATCCATGGAGCATATACTTTTGAATAGCAAGGGCTAGATGGGGAGAAACTATAAACAGCTGAAGTCATAGACTTTCTTGCTGCACCAAACTTAGTAATGTATTGTTGCCCAGTATTAAAGATTGCAAGGAGTGATGGGACAATGAACATGGAGCCAGACCCCCTGGTTCCAGCATTTAATGGCAATGGCTACCTCAAAACCTTAATTATTTCATATACACAGACCATTTGGAAGGATGCAGTCAAAATGTGCTTTCAATTTAAAAAAAACTTTAAGACTCCCAGATTTTTATTGTTAACTGAGTTTTATTTGGAATATTGTTTGTTTTGGGAGGGAATTTACTAACCACTTTCTAAACAGCATTTGCTGTTTTCCTAACATTTTAATCTCTCTCTCCCATGTCAGGTATCTTTAGTCCCAACAGACAAAATGCCTATTAACTAGGTTTTCTGATGTGTTGGAATTAATTTATTTCCATTGGAGCTCTGGTAGCATAGTGCCTAAGGCATTTGACTGCTAATCAGAAGTCTGGTGGTTCAAATCCACCAGCCACTGCTCGGAAGGAAGGTTGGGCAATCTACTTCCATAGTGATACTGCCTCGAATATCCAAGGAGGGGCCGCTATGAGTCATATCCAACTCAAGAGCAGTGAGTTTTGTTTTGTTTTGTTTTGAAGCTAGTAAATATTTACTGTTTACCTGCCTTGTGTAAGGTGCTATGCTGAATGTCCTAAGGATTGAATGGTTAATTCATTTTTAAAAGATTTACACTCAAGATAAGGTAGTCTTAGAAAGTGCTCCTAGAAGTACAAAACAAACTAATGTGTTTGAAATCACAGTCCTGGTAAGACGAAGAAGGAGCTCTGGTAATGCAGTTTGTCAGATCCCACTCCTTGGAAGGAAAGTTGGGCAATCTACTTCCACAGAGATATCTCTTCGGAAACCCAAGGAGGGGTCGTTATGAGTCACATCTGACTCAAAGGCAGTGAGAGAGTTCATAATGGTAAACTTGCTTATGAAATTGTACTTTTACCCTCTTGTGTTTACTTCAGCAAGGTTAACTGAGAATTAATATAAATTTGTTCTTTGGATGAAATTTCCTTTTAGATTGACAATGATCTTAGAGCTTTAAAAATAGCTTTATATTTGAGACTTCATTGTTTAAGATGTTTTTTCAGTGTACTATATCACATTTTACATTATTTTATGATCTATGGCAAAAGAAAGGATGAAATAATCATTGTTAGCATTGGTTCCAGATCTTAAAATTGGCACTGGGAGTCTTATCCTACAAGCCATGTAGAAGGAAGAGAACTGATGGTTTATACAGGTTAGTTTGAATCTTCATATGGTTCTCTTGAGCAGTAATTGAAATCCTTAGACTTCAGTCTTAAATTCCAGGAATAATGGGAAAATCAGAATTTAAAGGAGAGAAAGGAAGCACATTATTTCTGGACATTATCCAAATTTGTGTTAAAATTAGTAAACTTTAAAATTTTTTTCTTCACTCATTCACTCACTGCTGTCAAGTCGATTGCAAGTCATAGAGACCCTTCCTTGGGTTTCTGAGGTTCTATCTCTACAGAAATAGATTGCCCATTATTCCTTCTGAGGAGTGGCTGGTGAGTTTGAACTACCAGCCTTCTGATAAGCAGTCAAATGCTTTAGGCACTAATTTAATATATAGTTCAATATGTTAAGGAAATGTAACACTAACAGCACATTTCCTTCATAAGCTATTGTTCTAGTTACCTAATGCCACTCTGACAAGAATATATACCACAAATGGGATGGCCTTAACAAACAGGAGTTTATTCTCTTACAGTTTGGGAGGCTAGAAGTCTGAGTTCCAAGTGCCAGGCTCTAGAGGCTGGGTGTAAGCCCCTCAACCTTGGGCTTCAGCTCTGCCTCTTGTTCCCAGCTCACTGAAGCTAGAGGCATCTCTTCACTCAGGCAGCTACTGGATGCTGAAACTGACAAGCCCAAGGTCGACAAACAAAATGGCGCAGTCCTGATGTTACCAAACCACATGGCAGGCCATTAATTCAAGTCCATTTAAAGTCTCAAGGTAGGCAGAGCATAACATGTTGCTAAACAATGACTTGGTTACATGCAAGGTTCAAGCATGCCATAAGCTAGAAACCATTCCCAAAGCTTTTTCTTATATGTTGGAAGTAGGCCACATCCCTAAAGCAGCTACTCAGTTGCTTGTGGTAGGTCCCACCATGGAGCTGATTGCCAGTCTCATCATGTGGAATAATTGCATCCAGCTGCCCATCCATTCACTCAGGCCTAGCCAAGTTGACACACAAACTTAAGTACCACAGCTATCTTATCTGTTTATTTGTTTGTTTTTTAACTAATAAAGTGGAAAGAAATAATTATTTGGCTTAATTTATGTTTGTACACACAACTATAGGTGACAATGGCAAGTGTAAGCTCTTTTCTGGAATGATTAGGTTCTGAAAGAAGGGGACCACATTTTACAGAAAAGGAGGCATTTGTATTATTTGGTGTCTTACAGACAATATGTGCAAATACTTGCCTCCTCCTGTTAGAATCATAAGTCATAATTTCCCATTTTCTACTCTACTTTATATAATATTCATATTTTAAGACTTTGAAAGTTAGATTCTGAATCTAGACTTTTTTTCTGGGTCAATGCGATTTTAAATATACAAATGAATTATAATTAAAGTGATCTCTGGTAGCATGGTGCCTAAGGCATTTGACTGCTAATCAGAAGGCTGGCGGTTCAAACCCACCAGCCACTCCTCAGAAGGAAGGTTGGACAATCTACTTTTGTAGTAATACCACCTCGGAAACCCAAGGAGGTGTCACTATGAGTTGGGGCGACTCTATGGCACATAACAACAACAACAATAAAAGATAGGGAGTTCTGGTGGCTAGTGCCTGAGGCATTTGACTGCTAACCAGAAGGCTGGAGGTTCACCAGTCACTCCTCGGAAGGAAGGTTGGGCAATCTTCTTCTGTAGTGAAGTTGTTGTTGTTGTTGTTATGTGCCATCAAGTCAGACTTGACTCATAGCGACCCCTCCTTGGGTTTTCGAGGCAGTATCACTACGGAAGTAGATTGCCCCATCTTCCTTCCGAGGAGTGGCTGGTGGATTTGAACCACCAGCCTTCTGGTTAGCAGTTAGATGCTTTAGGCACTATGCTACCAGATATACTGCCTTGGAAACCCAAGGAAGGGTCACTGTGAGTCGAATCGACTGGACAGCAGTGAGTTTGGTTTTTGGTTTGGAATAAAAGATGACTAAACTTTTTTGTTCCATCAGGAGCTGAGATATATTGGAACCATTTTAAGAAGAGAGGAAACACTGACTCATCTTTGTAGAAAGGAATTGAAAGTGATAAATTGCCATGGATCTTACTTATATTCCTGAAGACTTACTCAGTTGTCCAAAATTTGGAAATAAATCCTGTCCTCCCACCAACCGCCCTTTTCATGTCCGGGTGGTAATGTATTTGGTTATGACTGCAGCCATGGTTATCACAATCATTGGGAACTTAGTTATAATAATTTCCATATCTCATTTCAAACAGCTTCACTCTCCCACAAATTTTCTGATCCTCTCCATGGCAACCACGGACTTTCTGCTGGGTTTTGTCATCATGCCGTACAGCATGGTGCGATCAGTGGAGAGCTGTTGGTATTTTGGAGATGGCTTTTGTAAATTCCATGCAAGCTTTGACATGATGCTAAGCCTGACCTCCATTTTCCATCTCTGTTCCATTGCTATTGACCGATTTTATGCTGTTTGTTACCCTTTACACTACACGACCATGATGACCATCTCCACGATAAAGCGACTGCTGGCATTTTGCTGGTCGGCCCCTGCTTTGTTTTCCTTCAGTTTAGTTCTCTCTGAGGCCAACGTTTCTGGTATGCAGAGTTATGAGATTCTTGTTGCTTGCTTCAAATTCTGTGCACTTACTTTCAACAAATTTTGGGGGACAATATTGTTCACTACATGCTTCTTTACTCCTGGCTCTATCATGGTTGGTATTTATGGCAAAATCTTTCTTGTTTGCAGACAACACACTCGGGTCCTCAGCAACATGCCCGAAAACACAAAGGGAGAAGCAAGAAAAAACCTATCTAAGAAAAAGGACAGGAAAGCAGCTAAGACCCTGGGTATAGTCATGGGAGTATTTCTAGCTTGCTGGTTGCCTTGCTTTCTTGCTGTTTTGATTGATCCATATTTAGGCTACTCCACTCCCATAGTCATACTTGACCTTCTAGTGTGGCTTGGTTACTTCAACTCCACTTTCAACCCCCTCATTCATGGCTTTTTTTACCCATGGTTTCGGAAAGCTCTTAAGCACATAGTGTCAGGAAAAATATTCAGCTCTTACTCAGAAACTGCAAATCTGTTTCCTGAAGTACATTAATAAAAGGTCATTACAAAAGTGAATTGAATGTTGAAAATGAGACTTATTATTTTGACCTGCCTTACGTGACTGATAGTCCCACATCACTGCAAATATTATACTATTAAATCTCAATAATCTAGTTAAGTGTTGTATAATCTGAACATGAGCAAAATTCAGTAACTTTAACCAATCAATAAACTAATCATTAATTGATAATGCTTCATAATTAATCAGTTATTAATTCTGAATTCTGAATTCAAGTGATACTCACCTCTGAGGGGTGAGGAAAATGTACAAAAGAGACTTAAACATAGTTCAGAAGAAGTTGAACTGTGTTATGTACTGGAGACAATTAAAGACCAATATAAGAATTGCAAAAATAAAGTGCTATCAGTTTTGATTCTTATGTGATTCCACTCTAGGAATTCAGAAGAGGGAAAGTAGTTGTTACCTGTGGAGCCATGGAGGACATTTTACTTAAATTTAGACTCTTTTATCAAGTAGCAGGCCATCCTATCATTTGCTTAGAAAAATTGTTGTTGTTGTTAGGTGCCATCCAGCTGATTTCAACTCTTGTAACACAGTAGAAGTGTCCCATAAGGTTTCCTAGACTGTCATCTTTACAGAAGCAAATCGCCACATCTTTTTCTGGCAGAACCACTGGTTGAGTTTGAACCATCAACTTTTCAGTTAGCAGCTGAGCACTTAACCACAGCATCACCAGGTCTCTTTTGGAAGAATCATTAACCATCATCATACAAATTCCTCAGTTATTTCCTGACACTCTGAAACTCACTGCAAAGAAGACTGCAAGAAAGAAGCAGTTAGACGCAAATCATCATATGCAATTTGAGCTTTTACTCTTGTGACTATTCACAGTGTGGTTTATATTTGAAACGATTTACTCTTCCCTCTTTTTTCCAACTTCTTAATCTGCTTGGTGTGTCTTCACCATCAGCAGGGAATCACAAGGCCTCTCCTTGTACCAGTCTCCACTACTTTTTTCTGGAAGCCCTGCCTGGGGGCCCTGCCAAATAAATTTCATCCACACCACAACACTTATAATTTAAGACAGATCATTAAGATTTGGTGAAAATGCTTTCAGTGATTTTTTTTTTTTTTTGGTAAAGTATTAAGATACAAATAGAGCCTTCATTTTACTTCATAGTTTGGGAAATATATGAATACATGTAACCGTCATGTCAATGTGCCCACATGTGTGAAAATGCAGTATGGGAGGGAGCAAAAGAGTAGACAAAAAAAAAAAAAAACTCATTGCCATCGAGTTGGACCTGACTCATAGCGACCCCTTCTTGGGTTTCCAAGGCAGTATCACTATGGGAGTAGATGGCCCCACCTTTCACAGAAGGAGGTTAAATCTTCCCCCTTTTTCGGGATCCAAGGTCAACCTTAGGTCAAATTTTGAAAGAATAAATTTACCTTTGGCTCTTTGCTATCTCTCTTGTGAGTTCTTTCCTCCAAATACCCAGTCATCCTATGACCTAAAATCAACTATGGAAAATTACCCAGGCTCACCTTATGTTCTGAAGGGCAGTATGATTCTGTAACTCTGTTGTCAGGAGAAAAATAAATGTGCATAATAAATGAGTAGTTGATAGTTGTGAAGTATTTTCACATTTATCAAAGGATATTCACAAACTCTAACTATTGCAGTGCCTAAGGCACTTGATTGCTAACCAGAAGACTAGCGGTTCAAACCCACCAGCCACTCCTCAGAAGGAAGGTTGGGCAATCTACTTCCATAGAGGCACCACCTTGGAAACCCTAGGAGGGGTCGCTGTGAGTTGAATTGGCTTGACAGCAGTGAGTTTGGTTTTTTGTTTGTTTGTTTGTTTATTTGTTTTTTTAAAACTATTGCTCTTGAAGTGAACATTCAGGCAGTGTCTAAAACAAAAAACCCCAATTGACGTAGAGTTGATTTCAGCTCGTGGTGACCCCATGTGCGTCTAAGTGGAACTCTGCTTCACAGGGTTTTCAGTGGCTGTTTTTTCAGAAGAAGATCACCTGTCCTTTCTTCCAAGGAGTGTCTGGGTGAACCTGAAACTCCAACCTTTTTGTTAGAAGTCAAGCCCGTTAACCATGTGCAGCACAGGGGAAATAAAGAGATATTACATGTAAGGCACTGCCAGCCTTCTTCTGACGATGTCACAGAATTGGAGACCCAGTCTGGTCTGCAGGACATATTCTGCATCCTCCAGGCATGTCTCTCCCTTCACAGATGAGGACATCACTGACCTCCCTTTGTTGTTACAGATGGTTCATACCCACTGATCCTTTTACTATGCTTGGCTGCCTCTCTGTTCCTGCTTTTTAAATTCTCATTTGTTTCCTCTACTTTTGGACTATTTCTACTGTAAAAGCTTCACTGTGTGTGTGTCTATATGTTTCTCATGCCAGTGGCATTAGGGGTACTCAAAGGGGGACGAGAGTAATATAGAAACAACCAAGTTTTGTATGTAGGACATTGGTACACAGGATAATGTAGGACATTGCCATGTGATTGTTTGACTGAGGACTGTCCATAGGCATAAACTGATCTAAGTATAAATAGGGTAATGTGTTTGGATAGACTTAGCTAGCTAGCTGCATGAAATATATAGCTATAAGTTTACATGAAACCTCTGTAGAATCATGCAGATAGATAATGAGTCCTCAGTATACAAATATTTATCTAGAGATTCACCTGTAGCATATGCCCTCTGTTCCCACTTATGTTGTCTTAGACTGAGCCCAGGCCCTCTTCATTCCTTGAACAGAAGTTTTGCATCCATTTGTTTGGCACTTTTCTTAAATATCTTAGGTGTTTCTGGCTGGATCTCTTCTGTCTCGCCACCACTCTTCTGCATCCTGCACAGGAGGCTAAGCTGTGTAGACCAGATGAAGGAGTCCCTTGGCTTTGAGGTTTCAGTGTCTGCTGTATAGGAAGCACCCTCAGGAGAACAGAGAGGAATAATGGTGAAATCAGGCTACTTACCACTGAGTAAAGCAAGCTCTGGTGGTGCAGTACCTAAAACATTTGATGTTAGCTAGAAGTTTGGCAGTTCAAACCCACCAGGAACTCCACATTAGGAAAATGGGGTAATTTACTACCATTTGGCCTTGAAAACCCAATGGGGATTGCTGTGAGTCAGAGTCTATTCAATGGCAATAGATTTGGTTTTTCGGTTTTATCTCTGAATAAAATGATGATCCCTTTGGCTAAAAGAGGTAAAAATTTGTACTGCTATGTTTGGCAACCTTTCTGCCAAATTGCCCAGGGCGGCTGTGTTCTTCCATGACAGACCTTCTGTAGTCCCTCCCCATACAGCTCTACTACAGAAACTCCTGTACCTATTCTCTTCTGCTACTTCTGGCCTAGGGTGCTGACTGCCACTAGGGCCTTGGGTACTATACTGTTTCTTCCTTGTCTCCTTACCCACTTCTCACACCTTTGCAAATAGTTCCTTTATTAAATTCTCCTCAATCACTCTGGTTTTGGCACTGTTTCCTGCTGGACACCTGACTAATGCAGCTCTTCATTGCTCAGAGATAATGCTTTCAAGTTCTTCCCCAAAATACAAAGTGCTGGACAATCCTGCCTCGGCCTGCCTTTGTATTTCCACATTGAATCATTCCTGTAGCCTCCATACTTCAAAGGAGTCTCTGGGCCCCCAGTAAGTCTTCTACCCCTGTTTGCTTTATCTTGAGATGTTACTCATCTTCTTCTGTTTGAATATCAGTCTTAAAATTTCAATGTGAGATTTCTGGTGTCCCTGAGAATAGGTTTTGTGTATAGAAATGATTATTTGAGATAATTTTGGCTATTAAAATTAATGTTAGATATATAAAACAATATTTAAAAGACTGGCTGTCCCTCAAAATTGTGTTTAACTTATAATTTTTGTTACTCTATCTAGACATTTAATAACTTTAAACAATACATTTTAAAGGTGCAATTGCAGCCTAGTTAATTGAATTCCCTTAATATTTTATTTGTGTTCATCAAATTATTCAATTTCCTTTTTTAGTAGTGTAATTGTCAGACTAATACATAAAACTTTCCCCAATATTTAACATCTCTTATAAAGTTAATGAATTGTTTACCAGTATAGTGACTTTAGGGTTCTTAAAATTATAGCTGTTTATAAATGGAGTGAGCTATTGTTTTGTGTCTTTCAACTTACAAATCATGTCTAAATCTGTTATAGACAGTCCCCATGTTGCAAACATCCTACTCATAGACAGTTCATACTTTTCCTTTAATGTTATATAAATTTGCCTTCACTTTGAAAAGATTGAACCAATTCCTACTGGCAGCATATTCTTCATCTTAATCACCTTCATATAAGAGCTCTGGTGGTAAAGTGCTTAAGGCATTTGAATGCTAACCAAAAGGCTGGCAGTACAAACCCACCAGCCACTCCTCAGAAAGAAGATTGAGCAATCTATTTCCACAGTGATACTGCCTCAGAAACCCAAGGAGGGGTCACTATGAGTCAGATTAACAGTCCAACTGAAAAATAGGCAGACGACATGAACAGACACATCACCAAAGAGGTTATTCAGTAGGCCAGCAAATACATGAAGAGATGCTCACAATCTTTGGCCATCAGAGAGATGCAAATCAAAACAACTCCAGCACTGATGGCAAGGTTCAACGAGACAGAAAATAACAAATGCTGGTGAGGATGTGAAGAGGTTGGGCCTCTCATACACTGCTGGTGGGTCTGTGAATTGATACAACCACTGTGGAAACAGTATGGTGATTCCTTAGAAAGCTGGAGTTGGAGATACCATTTGACCCAGCAATCCCATTACTAGGTATATATCCTAGAGAAGTGAGAGCCAGGACAGGAACTGATATATGCACATCCATGTTCATTGCAGCACTATTTACAACAGCAAAATGATGGAAACAACCTATGTGCCCATCAACAGAAGAAGGGGTAACCAAACTATGGTACATGCACAAAATGGAATACTATATTACTCTAAAGAATAATGTAGAGTCAGCAAAA